GCAGGAACGCATTTACTGCGACGATGCATTCGTGTCTCGGCGACGACGGAGACCATGCATTCGCGCCTGGATAACTCCACCGGCTGTAGTGGGTGCGGGCGACCGGGTTATCCGGCGGACAAGCACTTCTCATCTCTTCGGATAAATGTAGTTGTGCTATTCTCAAGGCACACGTTTGAATAGTTTTGTTCCATTTTCCTTTCACGTTCTGCACATTCCAAAACTGGTCTTCCGAAATTATTCAAAGTATGGTTGGGTTTTGTGATAAGTTTTTTAAACGAACCATGTGGGATTCACAGCTTTATTTGATTGCGGGAAGAAGGGACACCAAAAGAAGATGACACTAGTGGGAAAATACAGTGCCTTACTTGATGAGCTTTTACTATAGACACTAAGTTATTTATTTATTTTTTATCTGGAATATTATTTCACAATTCCCTTGAATGAATTTCTTATGATTCTATACAGGTTAGTTTTTATTTATTTATTTATTTTTATTTTATTTTAGAAGATTTAGAAAATTGCATTAAATTAAATGTTGTCAAATACTTGTGTGTGTGTATGTGTATATATATATATATATATATATATATATATGTGTGTGTGTGTGTGTATGTGTGTGTATTTGTATGCATAACCAACCTCTAGGGACAAAAGAAATTGATGATTATATAGTGTAGTTGCCTATATAATATTAAATATATAGTTTAGTGTAGATGGTGCATATTGGGACCAACGAAATGGATTGATTATAATCCAAAGTTGACTTTACCAAGGTTCGTTTTAACAAGAGCTAATTGTATCTGTGTATATATATATATATATATATATATATGCAAGATATTAATTTAGGATTACTTTTTCTTTGATGTTAATACAAAAAAAAAAAAAAAAAAAAAAAAAAATCTATTAAATAGTCTTTAACAAAAATATCTTTACAAAGAATATTAGAAATTATATTAATAGTAATGTTAACATATAAAATATTGATGTTATCACTTATAGAGATAATTTGAGCAAATCTTTTATATTTTCAAACAAAAGCTTCAAATTAAATTTAAATTTGAGATAAACAAATATGAATATAGATAAATTTGTAGACACACATAAGACCAAAAAAGAAATGAAGTTCAAACCTTCAAAGAATTAAATGGAGATGGTAGCAACATTAGCATGTAATAAAATCAACATAAAATCACAATTGCATGAAATAAATGTAGAAATTTTAAAATCACTAAAATATATATATATATATATATATATATATATATATAACAAAAGACTTGTAGTGAAAAATTTCAAATTTTTAATCATAATTTAAATAAAGAAATTATGTTTAAATTTCTACAAAATTTTAAGAATAATCATACTTAAAAAAATGATATAATCTATATATATTTTGAGTTTTGCTAATACCACCATAGTTATTTCTATTGGTACTATTAATTATTTATATTAAAATTTTAAAAAATATATTAAAACTAAATTTATTTTAATTTATTAATATAGCCAAAATTGTGCTTACTTATGGAGGTGATGACACTTATGTAACATTTTTTTCTACATGAGTTTACAAATTATCTAAAACATTATATGAAAAAAGTGTTAAATAAGTTCTAGAAGAAGGATGAGTATTTCTAATTTTACTTCAAAAAATTGGACACGAATATAAAATTATTATTTATTTTTAAGAAATTATGAATTTGAGCCCAACAAAAAAAAAATCTCCCTAGTAAATAAGTAAGATAGTAGCAATAGAAGCAAGACCACTATTAATTATCTATCTGGTTCCTATTTTTTAATTTTTTTTTGCAGATTGCAATGAATGTAGTTGAATGCATTGATATTAAAGATTCTTTCTTTGTCTATTACTTTTATAGTACAAAATCTATGGTGGATAAAATGTTAAGTAGTAGTTGCAAATCAATTTGGCTTGAATGAGTGATTTCTTTTAAGTATTTTTTTTAATATATATATATATATATATATATAAAGGCCTATTTTGCAATTGCAATGGAGTGTTGATCACTCTTAAAACTAAAAATATTAATAATTGTTCCAAATACACATCTTTCAATGCTAAAAAATCTTTGTGCATCCTAAACTTAGTCAATTAATTATACCACAAGCTATAGAAAATTAGGATTTTATGTTTATTCTTTTTTGACTCAACTATGATTTCAAGGGAGATGAAGAACACAAAGGAATTAACAAAAACATAGGAAACACATAAGAACCAACAAAAAATCAAGAAATATGTAGGAATAAATAGAAACCTACAAGAATTCAAAGAAAACACAAGAACATAAATTCTAAAAAAACATATAAGAACATTTTTCTATGCCCAACAATATGAGTTTTCACTTCTCCAAATGTGATGAAGGTCTACTCCGAAAATAATCAAGTTGAAAATATTTTTGTAAATGTAATTTATCTCAAAGTTCTTTTAACTTAGTTATTCAAGTTGTCATAATAAATAAAAATTATATTCTCCAATTACACTAAAAAAAAATAAATGCTTTCATTATTATCCATAATTTTTTTGTTTTGTTTGTTTGTTTGTGTTTTTTTTCTTAGTCAACATTCTTTTAGAAGTGGTTGATTTTTAACTTAGCTACCATAAATTAAACTTTTACAACTTTTTCATGGCCAATGACACATGTTTCTATATATATATATATATATATATATATATATAATTTATCATTAGTATTTAATATATTATTAGAAATATCCAAAAGATAAGTTATTCATTTTTAAAGGTGTTGTTAGAAATATTAAAATGAGATATTTTACTCAAATAATACAAATTAAAAATTAAAAATAAATTTAATAACTTCAAAAGTAGCTTAGACAAATATATATCAATTTAATAATTAATTAAAAATACATACATTTTTAGATAATTTTCTTATGTGTCATCATTTAATTTATGGGAAAGATAATTTCTTTTATCAAAGGATGGTTTGTAATTCAATTTATATAAACTTTGATAAAACATGAAAAAAAATGTAGTTAATTTAGTTTTGTGCAATGCTTTAATATGCATTATTTTTTAATTATATTGTTACAATATATAATTTTGCACAATTGGTATTTAATTTTTTTTTATCAATGTGTGATATTGTAAAGTTAAATAAGGTTAAAATTTTCTGCAGTTATATTTTGAACAATTTGATGTAAGTTAAGTATATTTTAATTTTAATTTTAATTTTAATTTTTAACCTGTTAATTTAAAAAAAAAAAATTAAGAAAAAATTATCATTATAAATAAATACCTTAATGTTATAAAAATATTTAAGTAACCATCCTAATTTGAGTCTTTTTTGATAGAATTTATTTCAATTTTTTTATTTAAAATATATTTTTAAAATATATGATTGTTTTTTACTTAAAAAAATATGTTTTTAGATTTAAGATGGTTCTTTTAGAATAAATTTAGATGATGACAAGATTATATAATTATAATTATTTGACATTTTAAAAACTTGATCATTTTTAATATATAAATTATATTTTTTAAATATTTATTATTGTTAATATATATATATATATATATATATATATATATATATCCACAATTAGAGTTTTTTTCCATATATTTATTAGAATTTGTATTAATTGGTTGTTGTTATTTAATCTTACTTAATTTGTTTAAATTTTTATAATGAGTTGGTTCATATTTAATATATATACTTATATAAAACTTCTAGCACATTATAATACAATAAGAATATGAATTTTTACAACAATAAAACTCCAATATCAATTATATCTTCTTATGAACCTTTGTTACAATTTACAATAATGACCAAAGAATATTATTTCTTTTAATTTGTTTTTGTTTGTTTGTTTGTTTGTTTGTTTTTGTTTTTTTTCGTTTTTTTTTTTGTTTTTTTACTTTTCGACAAGCTCTCTATATGTGTTAAAATACTTAAACAATATTGTATACATGTATTTTTAGGCCCAATTGATTTTATTTGAGAGGCCTTTATAATATTTCTAATTAAATATAATGAATATTATTTCCTTAAACTACTTAAACAAATTAGCCATTGAAAATTATTGAATGCATGGATGCCAATGTATTTTATTTTTATTTTATTTTTAAAGATGCAGTAAATTGTGCTAAAATTATTATTTTTCTAGTCATTGGAAGGCCATGAAATAATCATGAAATTTTTTTTGTTCCAAATTACATTACTACCTTCAGTGACATATTAATTTTCCAGTCAATTGAATTACTTTAATATCCTAAATATTACAATAATCCTTGATATCCAGGGTTTTAAATGTTCTTTTTAATACTAAAATGTAACAAATCTCAATCATTATTGAATGGTTCCACTTGCGTTTCCAGAAGACTTGGAAATTTTTTTAATGGAAAATATGCATCCTCATAGTTTTTCAATTAGGCAAGGCATAAAATACTCTTTCAATTCTCAGATTGAATAAAAATTATACAATACAAGGAAAAGAAAAGTCTCACTACAAAAGAAGAAAAAAGCCCTCATCAAACTTACAATTTTTTTTTATAAGAAATGAAAAAGAAAAAGAAAAATTGAAACCAAAGGTTCAACACCATTGAAAAACTCGTGAGGTGGAAAGATTTCCTCATATTGTGATCAAACTCTCTTCAAATGCAAAGTTGTCAAGCAATTCAAAATCTATGTTTAGAAAGATTGAAGTGGAGAGGGGGAGAGAGAGAGAGCATGCTGACTTCGCATCGGGAACCGAAGAGTGCGCAATAAAAACCTCACTGTTCCCAGCTTCAGATGAAAGCACACGGATGAATCATCCCGAAACCAGTGAACGACATTCATCGCAAAGTGACCGGTACTCCTGCCCGAGGACGAAAAATATCAGAAGCGGGCAGGGGGTGGGGGGTGTGAAGGAAAGCAGGAAGGAAGGAAGGCAGTGGAGCTGGACCCACACACACACTCACACACTTACTTACTTACTGACTGACTGACTGACTTGCACATAGCAGGAGCAGGAGCAGGAGTAGCAGTAGTCTTAAAGGGAGGGAGGGGGATTCATTCTTCGGTGGTGCTGTAATTTCCTTCTTTTGACATTACTACTGACATTCCGCCCTCCCCTCGTATTCATTCTTCCGAATGAACGCTGCAGGAAGGACCCAACGACATGCTGCGTTCTTATGGAACTGACTGTTGCTCTCTCTCTCGTGGCATTTTTACAATACTACTGCACTCAGTCAGGCAGTCAGTCAAAGGTCATGAGGGAGGAGGAGGAGGTGGAAGCAGGTGTCGTCGACGGAGACCAACTGCGCATGATGATGCTCATGCTGCCCTGGTCCATAAGATGGTGTGAGTGGCTGACTGACGCATGCCCTAAAGCGATAAGAGAGATGAAAGAAAGACAGACAGACAAACAGAGTCATGGAAGGAAGGAGTGCAGGAGATGAAGGCGATGGATCTGGGGGTAATGGAGAGACAGTGACCGAGCGAGAGAGAGAGAGCACCAGTGGAGTCCCCCCTCCTCTGAGTGATTGAGTGAGTATGGGTTAGGGTGGCATGGGCATGTTTGTGGTTGACAGAAACTGGGGCCATAGTACACAGAAGTGGCGATGGAAGGAAAGGGAAAGCGAAGGAAGGGGAAGGAATGAAAGGGGGGGGGGGGGATTGAAGTTGGGGCCATGTATGTCCCCTGGACTGTCACCCTACATTGACACATTCTCATCACCTGCTCTCTGTTGTGGTTGGGTGGGTGAGAGAGAAAGCAGCCCCTTTTGTCAAGCAAGTACTGTGTATCTCTGCTCAGTCTCCTCCTCCTCCCCATCCCCTCCCTTTCATTCCATTTGCTGTTCCTGACGGAGTTGCTGTCAATGGGTAAAATTTCATTCCAGCTAGGGACCACCAGGCCCTCAGGGCCCCCACTCACAATGAGGAGACCTGTGCAAGCCTCGCTACAACAACAACCCTAATCCCCCATCATCCCTACTCCTACCTCACTATTGCCGTCGCAGTAGTTTGCCTTTTGTGGTTCCTATTTTTTTTTTTTTCGTTTTTGCCATTTTTCTTTTTTGTGTTTTGTATTTTGCCTTCCCCCCCTCTATTGCTTGGCTATTGGACTCGCGCTCTCTCGTGTTAATTTTACATCGGATTCTGCTCTCATTCAGGTGGTGTCCGTGGTTGATTCACTTCCATGTCCATATTCATCACCATCTGCTCTTCCTCCTACCGCTCCTCATTCACTTGCCTCCTCTCTATCCTTGATTGTTTCTAGATTGTGCTCTCTGAGAGAGTGGGTGTTTTCCTCGCACTTGTGCCAAGGATTGATCTTTTGTTGTTGCGCTAGAGTCCTTTAGATGCCTTCGCTTGCTCTAATAGTTCTATCTCGCTCGGTGCCCAATTGAATGTGAGTTGGATCTAGTGAGGGCTGCCTTGTTGGGAAATCATCAGGCTCTCACCGATTTACCCCAGCGTAAGTGTATGGGAGGTAGTGACATATGGGCGACACGAAGGACGCAGTGTAAGACGTGGCCAGGGATTCTTCACAAATCATGCCGAGTCTGTTGCACAAAGCATTGCCATCGACGTCCGCCTCGCATTTCAATGTGTCGGATGCACGCCCCACCGCTGTATGGACCCGCTCCAATACTGACGATGTCACTCTATCCCAGCTTCACAAGGTTGTACACTCTTCTTCTGACCTCCCTCCCCCTCTCCCTCTACCTGTCAATTTAAAACAGCCATTGTGTGTTAACGAGATTCCACACAAATCCCTCATTTGCTGAAGATAGGTAACCCCTGGATTCAAATTATCGGCTATGGAATACAGTCATCTTTTCCACTCTACAGTTGACCTGGTGCACTTCGATCCGTGAATTCCTGCCCAGATTTGATTGCTGATTCAGGCAGATTGTCCAGATGAATATGCCCCTTGCCTGGCTTGAGATGCAATTCTTATCCAACAATGGATAGTGTTTTCAGCCGACTTGTCTGCGTAATTTCTAGTCGAAGAATTGGCAGGTCTCAACGAGTTGCGGATTTTGTTTTTGATTTTCAATTTGTGACGTCGTATCAATGTAGCTCTGTTGCTTCAGCAGTTGTATAGTTTTCATAGGTCTCATCTGATCATTGTATGTCGGATGTTGCTCAATTTTGAAATTCGAATATTTTATGTTAGATTGCAAGGCGGAAAGAAGTGGTTCTCATCAATGAAGATTTTGGAGTCTCAGGTCCTGTGAGAATAGGTTGTTGTTGGCAGGCGGAGCCGATTGAAAGTTTTATAAGAGACAGTTGCTGATACTGCGGTAGTAAATTCAATTGGGGTTACTTTGTCACTCTCCGAGTCTTTTATGGCCTTAAACGGTCATCGCCCTCATCTTGTTTCTAAACAGATCAGCACAATTCTATGAATCATGAGTACTGCTCCTCTGTCTTCATGAAGCTCTTGGAATTTTGACTGCTTCCATTGAGAAGGAAGAAATTAGGTTGTGATACAGCTAAGTGTCTTCACATTCAAATTTAAATTCAGCTCAAAATAGTCTATTTTTTATGGAAAGTGAGGTCCAGTGCGACAGTGCGGAAAGTAATGTATTTGATTATCCACTGGATTGACTGATGTGGCGGTGATCTACAAACTTCTTTGTGTTGGATCTTTCAATGCAAAACAACCGTGCATTGTTCTAGTTCTGCAATTGACTCTCCTCCAGGATTTTGTAGTCGATTGCTTCTGTTCGTCTGCAAGACGATAACTATCCAATTAATGGCACTCTTGGTTTCGTTGGTGTTGGGGATACGGGTTTGATGACAGCTGATGGATCAGTTAACGGAGAAGTTGGTGCCCAACCTTCTCCCGAAACAATTCATTACTGAAGTTCTTATATTGCAGCAGGACTGCTATGCACTTCGAATGCAGCAAATGTCTAAACCTAGGATTTCACGACTTTTTGCAGTTCTGGGGTGGTTTGTCGGTTGTGGCTCGCCGCGACTTGCTACGCATCGACAAGCAGACACTTTTTGAGCAAGTGCGCAAGAACCTTTATTGTTCGCGGTGCCATGGACTTCTGGTGGAGGGGTTTAATCAAATTGTATTCTATGGGAAGACCTTACAGGCAGGCATGGTGGGGCACACCAATGGCTCAGGGACTAATAGCAGGCAGGTGATACAAAATGGATACAACGCAGGAATTGCAGACTTATCAGATGACTCGAGGGATCCGTCTGTCCATCCTTGGGGTGGCCTAGCAGCCACTCGTGACAGTATGTTGACGGTCTTGGATTGCTTTCTGGATGGGATGCAGCTTGAGGTGCTTCAAAATGTACCTCCCACATTTCTTTACTTTTGTCAATGATTCCTGATTCTGTCGTTAGTCCTTGTGAAGCGAAGGAAACCAAAATCATGTCTTAAATACCTGACTGATTCCTGTCTACTAAGTAGCTGGTCAATGGTAAAACTCATACAATCATTCAAGTGTTAGTGTCCTTGAATTAGTCATATAGTTCTTTCAATATTCCAGGCTTTTAGTGTAGTGGGTCTAACTGTAGGTTGTCACTCTGCGATGATAGACACCTGGGCTGTTTAGGCCACACTTGTGCTGGCATGTCACAGTTCTGGAGTGCATAGCTTTATTTTGAGTACAACCTATATGTGAACTCATTGGATATTCAATCCACCAAGATGTTTGCCGACAGACTGCTACTTTTGAAAGTTGGATTCCTAGCTCAGAACGTGATGACAGTGGTAGAGCGTAAGGCAGTCTGATGATTGCAACTCTCACTTACAAGTAGCCTCCGTGCTTACATAGAACTTCTGCTGGCAGGTGTTTGAGAGTGCTCGGGCAAGAGAGCGAGAGCGGGAATTGCTGTATCCTGATGCGTGTGGTGGAGGTGGACGAGGTTGGATTAGTCAAAATGGGAGCTTTAATGGACGTGGACATGGACTAAAAGAGGCATGCGCGTTGCATACAGCGAGGCTCTCTTGTGAGGCGTTAGTGGACTTTTGGTCTGCTTTGGGAGATGAAACCAGGCGCTCTTTACTAAGGATGAAAGAGGAAGACTTCATCGAAAGACTAATCTTCAGGTAAGATTGCATGAAATTCCACATTTTAAGAGTGGCTATTAGTGGAGACGATGTCCATCTGCAAGTTCAAAGAAACGATAAATTGTGTTTGGTTTTCTGATGGTCTTTACATTAACTCTGTTTCCTTGAGAACGCGATCACATTTTTTTTTTTTTTTTTTTTTTAAATTAATAATTATTATTTTTTTAATTTTAATTTTTTTCATTTTACTGAGTAGTGTTAATTAATTCTGAATAGATACTGGTGTACTGAGGTTGTAACAGATGTACTTGCTGTGAATGGCAGATTCAACAGCAAGCGATTTTGTCGAGATTGTAGGCGTAATGTTCTTCGTGAATTTAAGGAAATGAAAGAGTTGAAAAGGTCTCGCAGAGAACCTCAGTGTACTAGATGGTTTTGCGCTGCTGACACTGTATTTCGATACGAGGTACATTAGTGAACTCTAAGTTGAATGATTAATGGGCTATCCAGTATGCTCCTAATACAATGCTCAATTAGAATTATGTACGTTGACAGTCTTAAGAGAAAGGGAATGAGCGAGCTGCAGTAGTGTTCCTTCTTTGTCCTTTACATCGCCTCGAAGTGGGTACTTACAATATTGGTTTTCGAGCAAAAAAAATGGAAACAAGAAAAAAAGAAAAAGAAAAAGAAAAGAAAAGAAGTTATACATGTGTTTTTACCTCGGCGTTCTAGAGGGTGATATTGATAATCTTGAACTTCATTACCTTTTCCTCAGGTCTCAGAGAGTGCAGTGCAAGTAGATTGGCACGACTGCTTTGTCGGTGATGGGAGTATTGCATTTCAGCGTTTTGAATGGGCACTGGGCACTGGAGAAGGAAAGAGCGATATTATTCCTTATGAGGACGTGGGTCTATCTGAGTCTGCTTACGTGGATAGCCTTGACCTTGCAAGTATTAGTGCTTGTTTCATCACTGTACGTGGTTGGAAGCGAGATGGTCGATGTACAGAGCTTTCTGCTAAAGCACATGCTCTGAAAGGACAATTGTGTGTTCATCGACGGCTGATTGTTGGGGATGGCTATTTGTCTATCACCCAAGGGGAGAGTATACAGAGATTTTTTGAACGCGCAGAACAGACTGAAGAAGAGGAGGTAGTTAACATTGTCCACGAAGGCTTTAACTTGGGATGAATTATGTAGGCTCATTCTGCTTCTGCGTGAAAATGCTAGAGATTTTGAGGAGGAAGACAAATAGTTTTCATTTCGAGCAGGGAGCTCTCTTGTTCGGGCTGGCTTTCGTATGATAGCTCATGTCGTGGTTAAAGACACAAGATGTAGATTGAAGGAGCTGAACTCGATTATTATTTTTTATTATTATTATTTTTTTTACCTACAGGATGAAGATGCCATTGACAACGATGGGAATGATTACGAGGGTGAAGCTTCTCGCCCTCAAAAGCATGCGAAAAGCCCTGAGCTTGCTCGGGACTTTTTGCTAGATGCAGCAACAGTTATTTTTAAAGAGCAGGTATACGTTTTATGCTTCCAAGGTCTTCATTCCAGTAAATGTATTTTTCTTCTGTGTATCATTGTTTTGTGAAGTTGAGGGTACTCGCTGTAGGCAGTGTACGTTGCGATTGGGATCAGGCGTGCTGATATCTTTCATTTGTTTGACAACAGGTAGAAAAGGCTTTCAGAGAGGGCACAGCTCGGCAGAATGCACATAGTATTTTTGTCTGTGTAGCTTTGAGCCTACTTGAAGAGCGTGTTCGTGTTGCTTGTAAAGAAATTACAAGCCTTGAGAAACAGGTTTGTAAGCTGATGTCTATTACCTTTAAATCACTAAGGACCTTCTATTTTTCTCTAATCTGTATAGACAGAGTGGGCGTCATTATCGTTGTGCTTTGCAATATGATCAATCTTTTTCATTTTAGCCTCACTCGTATAGCTTAGTTATCACCTCCGCATGTATATGAAGCAAAGCCTCTCGAAACAATCTGCCTTGCTCTATGAAGCAGCGCTATGCATTTGCTTGTTATGAGCAAATGACTGACACTATCTTTATAGTTTCGAGACTTCATGTTTGTTTATATCCTTCTACCATGACTTTATTAGTTGAAAACAAGTCTGAATACACTGCAAGTGCACATGCTTTAATATGTAAAATCAATTCGGCCTGATCAGAAGAAGCTCTTGGAAGAGGAAGAGCGTGAAAAGCGTGAAGAGGAGGAGAGACGGGAGCGAAGAAAACAGAAAGAGAGAGAAAAGAAGCTACGGAGAAAAGAGAAGTTAAAAAGTAAAGTGAAATGCAATAGAATGAATTGTACCCTTGCCACATTGGCTTCTAACGAATGTCTGACAGCAAGCTCACAAGGTGAGTGTCGAATTTGAACACTGAGGGTCAAATACTTTTGAAAAGAAAAGAGGCTCTTTCTTTCTTTTCTCTTCTTTTTTAATTTTTAATTTTTTATATATGTTATTATACAGAACATTGATCTTGTTGGACTTGTTCAGATGAAGAGCATGAAGAGCATGAAGAGGAGCAGGAGAGCAACTCAGGTAGTCAAGTAGAAGGAATTGAAAGTAACATTAGTGAGGATAGCAGGTCTGCAAGACCCTCATCTCCTGATATGATTGAAGCGAGGCCCTCAGCTGATGGCTTTGATCGTGAGAACGGAGGTACCAGCCAGCATGAAACCTTCGCTCCTGCACAAGTTATCGACGATCCTCTTGGTTTGAGGAATGGGAATGGTGCTTTCATTGTAGAAAGGTCAAAATCTGTCAGAAGAAGAACGCGGGATCGAAAACCTACGTCACCAGACAACTCAAATGGAAGTTGTAGAACAGAAGCTGAAAACAGTACCTTTGGTAATCCACGAACGGTACCTAATGCTCATTTTTTTATAAAGAGAGGGGCCATAAGCTCTCAAGTACAGCAGAGGAATGGCCCTCATAAATTTGATGCAGGGACTACAGAGAAAGAGGTCGATATATCATGTAATATAAATAACAAACATGAGATACTTCAGTCCTGTGCATGTGGCAGTCCTCATGTAGGATCCCGGTTTAAGATTGGGAATCGAGGTCCTGGTAAGTTAGGAATTCGAGATGCAAATGGAGGTAGTAGATCAGGAGAACGTGTCGATCTTGGGAGTCGTTCAAGTAAAATGCCTAATGAGGTTGGAAATCTGGATCCTGCAATTTCCCAGAAACCAATCGAGTATTCCCTGGAGAAATCAATCACAGCTACCACTTTTGAGCGAAGGGGTCAGAGGGCAGGGAACAGCACAGATAAACCCACTAAAGCAGTACATTCAAGAAGTTCCTCATTGGATTTATCAAATAGCTATCATGGGGGATCACGATTATCTCCAAATGGCTTCGCAAGAGGACATGGGTATCTTGACAATGGCCCTGGTTTGCCTGTTGTAGTAAAACCTACTTGGACTCCGCGCGCAGTAAATTCTTCAATTAGCTCAAACGGAGTGACAGTAAAGGTTTTAGCAGCTGGCCGTCGTCCTTTAGATAGTGTGCATGAGAGGAGTGACAGTCTTTGTCATGCTCAAGCAAAACCTGGAAGTCCCTGGATTGCTGGACCTAAATCAACCTCACCCAAGGCAATAAGTGTGATAGCCGTAGAATTTTCAGAGAGTAGGAAAGATGAGCCTTGTGTATCTGAAATTTCATGTACTTCGGAGGAGGGAGAAGACTTTACATTGACGGACTCTAATGCACCAATTCCGGTTCAAACTTGTATTACAGCTGATGATGGCCAGGAGGGTGACCTAGCTACCGGGACTGATACCAAAGGTGATAGTGTTTCACTAACAACGTCGACATCTGACTCTTCGTCCAAGACTTTGCCCGTGCAGAGGGAGCCATTAGTTGCAAACGCTCAGGGTTATGCTGTACCTGAGGAGAGAACAAATACTGAATCTCGACCAGGGGCTTCTTGTTCGGAACAAGGGGTACAATCTCTGCATGTACCGAGTTCAGTTGCAACAACACAGATAGCAGCCAATATGGTACTCTTAGCGGACTCGCCATCCCCTCGAACACACTGTAGTTCTTCACCCTCAGGTACACTATCGGAAACCTGTCCTCATCTTCATGCGAGTGGGCACCAGCTTGTGAACTGTCCTCAGGACAATCTTTTGAGGCCTCCATGTAACGGACCCATCTATCCATTTGCTACCGACATGTCTTCTTCCCAAGGACCCTTGCATTATGCCATACCACCTCCGAACTTAGCTCCTAGTTCGTTGAATATGCACCACCCTTTCGGGTTCTATCCAGTGAGCCCGTGGGCAGCGCATGGGAGGACTAGTGTGTTGCAAATGCCTCAAGCAGGTGGATATACCGTTGCTGGACCTGGGGGATTATGTATGGCAGTACTTCCTCCAATGTCTTTGAACGGTCCAGGGCCCATGCCTCCTGTGGGGCTAGGTCATTTGCCTGCTATTCTGGATGGGTTGAATCCCTTGCAACTGCGAGAGCAACATCAGAATACCATTCAGCAGGTGTTTCTGTCCCGGTTTGGGATTCCAGGGAAGGAATTCTCTAGTCGAGGCATTGCTGAAAGAGTCCCTTGTTTTTCGTCTGAGAACGGTTGGTCGGAAGGCGCTGTGGCTGCAGATGTTGGGCATTCTAGTGAGAATCGGAATGGCCATGTTGGTCAGGCTGTCTCAAATGCTTCATCACCTTTCCCTGGTGTCAAGGATAGGCGTCCCACTGACTCACCAACCACAGCAGTTTTCTCTCTTTTTCACTCCAAATGGCCCATCACCGGAGGGGCCAACGAAAAGGATGGATCACTGGAGGATTCGAATTCTGATGCAAGTGGTATGAATAACCTCACCACGAATGGTGCAGAAAAACCACAATGTATGGGAGGGTCGGATGAACTGAGAAAGTCTAGCTCATCTGCTGGAGAGTACAGTCTCTTTGCCTCTGCACCCAGCAACGGTTTTGGCTTCTTCTAATCAAAACCTGAAAGAAGCCGTCTTGTCGCGAAAATTTATCCAGGTATTTAAATTACTTGCAGTATTGAGTGAGTTAGTGATACCAAAAATGACAGCTCTTTGTGATAAAGCTTCTGTTCCCCACTACACTATGATAGAAAGGGGTTCCTTAGCCAAGAGCATTGTGCAAATTTATGTATGTGATAAATTCAATCTTATCTGATTGATCAAAATTTATTATCCTACTATTGACATGTGCTGCTCATACGCGAAGTTGTTTTTCCTCTACTGTGGTCATCATTTTTATTTTAGTACTCTAGAATAAAAATACCATGGGAAAATTTCAAAACTACTCCTGGAATTTTCTGAAATGTCAAGAATACTCCAGTATTCTTGATAATTGCACTCATACCTCTGAATTTTGTCATAATATCAAATCTACCCCTTTGTTTAATAAGTTATCAAGAAATCTCCCATTCTAAGTCGAAATGGGGCCCAAGCTGCAAGCTGTGCAATCCTTTTCTTCTCTTTTTGGCAGTTTCTGCATTTGTCTCCCAAGAACTGTGTCGCGGTTCATAACATTCATTGTAGTTATAGGGAATACTGTAGCTTTAGTGTTTTAGAATGTAGTGAGAAGAAATTGCTTATCTTCTTCTCTTCCTCTTGTATACAAGTAAGACAACCACATCAATACATAGTTTTTGTTTAGGAGCTCTCTTCTTCTATATACTCTCTAATATGTGTACATGTTTTGTATGTGAGTGGACATTACTTCTAGCTACTCTTGTGTCTCTTTCTAAAACATTCTCAACACATTATCAACATGATTGCTCTTGTGTACTACTCTTGGTTCATTAAAACTTGTGTACACCTTGCCCTTCATCTTCCCTTCATTTTTTCCCCTACATTGCATTGCTTGCTTGCTTACTGCTTGCCTACTTGCTTGCTGTTGCTTGTTGCTTGCTCCCGCCTACCATCATTGTCACTGTTGCCATTGTTGATACCGTTGCCATCACTATCCGTCATTGCCATCACTGTTGCCATCACTGTCCGCCATCACCATTGCCATTGCCGACCTCCGTACACCATTTGTTGCTGCTATTCCAGTCCACTACAAATTCTTGTTTTTGTGAAAAAAAAAAAAAAAAAAAAAAAAAATCAAGTTCAACTTTATCATTTCAAGATACATTTTACTCAATCTTTTTTACTTGATCTTGTATTCTTTTCCTTAGATTTATTTATACTGATTGCTTCAACATCCTCAACTGAATCTACTATGTTTCCAAGTATCATCATTGCATCCCAACATTTTCAAGCACTTCTATTTCTACCATTTGTTGCTAATAGAAATAATTATCTATTATGGAAAAAAATGACAAAAGCAAATTTATTTGTAGAATAACTTTCAAATGTAATTCTATTTGAAGAATCTCTTGTTATAAGTACTTCTATGCTTCTTACTATCCATTGGAAAGCCCTTCTTCTCCTTCATCATCATCTTATACCTACATTGCAACATCAATATTTAGAAATGGAAGATCCAGCGAAGCTTTGAGAGAATCTTAAATCTAAGTTGGATCATCAAAAGTCCATTTTCCTTTCACGTGCATGTCATGATTGGACACATTTACATTGTCATATGGCATGATCTTCTATCTGGGAATACACCGAGTACCTAGTTGTAAAGAGTTTAGCTTTAACTTATTGAACAAGTTTCAATAAGTGATGTATTATTATTATAAAGACCAAAGAAATATAATAGTATCAAAAGATGTTCTATTTATAAAACCTTTTTATATTTAAGAAGCTTTATACATAGGGCTTTCTAAAGCATTTAAAAATGCCCTAACATCCTTTGCTATACCAAATCATAACTAATTATTTGCCGATAAGTTTGATTTTCTATAAGCTCAAAAAAAATCCATAATCTTCTCACAAATATCAACCTTTATATCATATATTTGCCATAACTCCATATCTCCAATTTTAATATATTTATAAAGTCTTGGTTTCCAAAAAAACCCCTTTATTTTCCATAAAATGCCCAAAATTGTTACAAAATCATTTCCAAATATTTTTCTCCCGCAAAGGATTTTTCTACCTCAAACTTTAGAAATTCATATCTCTTGATTCAACTATTCATTTTTTGTCAAATTTTTAGATGACATAAAATTTATGCTTAAGCTTTATTACAAAAAAATGAATTATAAATCTACTATAGATTATTTGGCATCTTAGAAATCCTAGTAGATACTTTAAATCCTAATTTATAAGCATTCAAACATTATTTTCTCCATATCTCAAAAATTCAAACTCCAAATGCCAAAAAATTTAAGTATAATCTTTATTAATATGATAATACAAATTCTTGGAATTTTTTAGCCAAAATTTTGTCAAATTGCTCAAGATACAGCTTAAAATACAACTACTAGTAAATCCGATTACTTACTGCCTTTAGATTGCAAGTGCTGACTTCAACTTCCTATAATTCCTTTATTCTAGCTTAAAATTTATCAAGAAATATGTGAAAAATATAGCCAAAAAAGTATTCTTTTCAACTCCAATCTTTGATTCTTTAATGCATTTTGTATGCACATATTATGTTCAAAAGAATAACAATAGATACAAAATCAATACCTTAACTTTGAGTGCCTATATCTCTTTTTATAAAAACTCCAAATCATCCAAAATTTGCATCAAAACCATTGCCAAAATCCTAAACTCTTTGATTCTAGCCTCTCAAGTTCAAATAGCCTCAAAAGAGTAATCCTAATTCTTAATAAGGCCTCAAGCAGCTTCCTTGAAGTCCATTGGATATGCCTTTTGGCCAATAGGAATCGAGATTTTCATCATCCATCTCCATTCATCCATATAGGCGCCCTAATTACTCTTTTTGCTACCAAAATTCCTCTCCAATTCTTTTTCTTATAAGATCTACATAATATATGCCTTAAATACCAAATAAAAGAAACAAAATAAGATTTCAAAAATCACCAATGTTTAATAAAGGTGGTTCTAAATATATAAACTATTATCAATATAAAATCAACTTCAATAATAGCCTTTTTAAACTATCTATTTCAAAATAATAATCTAACTATATTTTGTAACTAATTAAAATCTAATAATGTGGCTTTCACCATATTGTATAATAAATTATATATTAAATATATATATATATATATATATATATATATATACATATATACTAGCCGAACTACAATATGATAATATATCTTAAATTTTCAAAATTTAAATGCTTTCAACAATGAAATGTATCATATTATCTGACAATTACGTTCATGTGAACAAATCATCTCTAAAGAAGAAATGATTGAGAAAAATCTCTCTATATTTCTTCTTCCATTTGCTATACTTGTACAATAATATAGGAATATGATACTTCTAAATCATCCTAGTTTCATGTCTTATCTACTTCTTGCAAAGAAACAAAATGAGTTACTTTTACATAATGTGGAAGTTCATCCTTTTGAAACTACAGTTTTAGAATCTCATGCATTTAATATTTCAAAGTCTAAAAAAAATTATATAAATATGGAAAAGGTACTCATAAGTACCAAGGTAGTGATGGTCATGACTATTTCTATCTATAAAAAAGAATAAATATTCTATTACTAATTATAGTGGAAAAAATATCAAAGATGCATTCTTGCCATAAATATGGTATGATTGGGTATTTAGTACATGCGTGCTGTACTTCACAATACTTTGTTAAAATATTTCAAGAAAATAAGAAACTTAAGGTTAAGGCTTGTGAAGTTTATCCATAGATGCATCCATAAATTCAATTGGTAGTGATGATTTCGAAGCTTACATGAATGAAAAAATCTTTAATGATGAGTCAAATGATGTGCTCATTGACATACTATAATAATACATATTATCTTGCAGGATAGATAATTTTTTATTGAAATTTTTTTAACTTGGAAAACTAAAAATTTAATGACCATGGCCAAAGCAAATGCATTTTGTTTCAAAGAGGGAACAACAATGATAAAATTGCTTGTAGGCTCTATCATAAAATGAAAACATATAATGTTTGTAACTTTAGTACTTCAAAATTTGAATAGCTAGCAAGATGTGTATGCCAATGGTTATCATCTCTTAACTGCTATTCTAAATAAGCAGAAGGTTTTGGTTCTTGCATGAAATCATAAAATTATTGAATAAGCCTTTGCTGCAAAAAATAATTTATACTAGATTGTAATCCAATCTCTCATTATATTTAATTTTGTATCATTTATTCTAGAAAGTCACGTTTTTCTCTAGCATAGAGGATTTGGACATCCAAGATCTATATTATTTTCAAAGATAATTCCATATATAATTGAACATAATTTAAATCGTACATATACATATTCTATAGAATTATGTTGTGCATGTGTGCAAGGTAAGATGATTACTTGATCCTCAATTTGAAAACTCCCACAAGAATTACTACCAATGCATGAAAGGTTGTATGGTAATATTTGTGATCTTATTAATCTAATATTTGGACTATTTTATTATTTTTTGATCTTTATTGATACATCAAGTAAAGAATGACAAGTTTTATTATTATCAATTCAAAATATAGTGTTTTTTTATCTAATATCTATATTTATTTGTTTCTAATCATATTTTCTTGATTATCTCATCAAAACATTGCATATGGATAATATAAAAGAATTTGTATCAAAATCTTTTAAAGACTATTATATTACAATAGAAATTGAGTTGATATATTGTATTCCATGTGAACATACTCAAAATAGATTTAAAGAGTCATTTATAAAACATATAAAATTTATTATCCAAATACTTCTTTTTTGGAAAAATTTACTTGCATCTATGTAGGATCATGTAATTTTGCATGCTATAGCATTAATATACCTTTTTCTCTCTTGTCTTGAAATTATTACACTACAAGAACTCATTTTGGATCATATTCCTAATGTATCTCACGTACAAATATTTTGTTGCCATACTTGGGTTCCAATAGTAGAACCTCAATGGCATACCATTAGAACTCATTGAAAAGAAGGCATATATATTGGTTTTGATTCACCAAGCATTATTTGTATTATTTATCCATCAACTGATACATTATTACATGCATATTTTTAAAATTACTATTTTGAAGAAAATATATTTCCATCTCTTTGAAGAAGAGTATCTAATTAATAAAAAAATAAAATACTTATATTTGGAGTAATAAATTTTTTTATCATAAATCTTAATCCTAGAATATCTT